AAAAAAAAAAGAAAAAAAGATCTTTTGTATATGGAACATAACATATTCAAGCAGAAGAATCTAAAATAAAATGGCTGGCAAAAACCAACCCCAAAGAATTATAATGATAAAGATTACTCACTGGGAAAAGAAAATTTAGTGCTTCCCAAGCTGCATGACGAACAGCTCGTGTAGGATACATTGGACCACCAGGAGAAGTGAAGCTATACAAGCAAGCTTTCAGTCTTGTACTTGTGGTCATCCTCAGTTCCATACCTACAGGAATTAGTCGCATTAGGTTGATCACTTCAATCCAGCCTAAATCATATCAGATCCAAAGAATTCAAAATCCTTGAATCCATCATGTGCACGGTATGATTATTGGTTGAAGTAGTAATACCCTGGAGAACTTTAATGTGGGAAAGGTAATGCAGTAGCACTGGCTCCACCTTCAATTTTTGTAGCTGATGAATTAGGAAATTTAAAAACCATGTGAAAAGACTTCCATGGGACCAACAGAATAAAACTATAACAAGATGCAATTTGAAAGATAGTATTTCAATCCTTACCTGATCAGCTAGTTCAGTAACAAAAATATCTGCTGGACCACCAACAAAGAGAGCATTTGGATAATCAGGAAATTGCTTCAAAAATCTTTCGAGCTTGTCAACTGTATTGTCTAGAAAAATTAATGGTCAAGCCCTAAAAAACAACAATAAGATGTTCAAAGATGACATTGGGCTATTGCTAAGGCTTACCTATGTTGTAAAAGAGTATGAACCTTGAAAGGAGAAGAAACAAGTCTCGCTGGGCCTAATAATTTTAGTTAGTACAAAAATTAACGTTCAAATTAGAATTGCCATTTAGGATGTAAAATGACTTGTTGAATTATGATTTACAAAGTACAATACGATAATATTTGAAAAACAAATATTGACTGGATCAATGCCTGACCTGTAAGGGTATTTTTTTTAATTGCTGCGGCACCAATGCAACTTCCTCAAGAAGATACTGAAGCCAACTAAAAAGGCAAGTGAGGCGAAAAATATATTTTAATCAACATAAATCTAGACAACATTTTACTTCTCCAATGGCATATCACCTGAAAAAGGCTATGGAAGCACCTTGTGTTGCTTTCGATGTCAATCCTGCATGCAAGCATGCAAATATATTACAAAGTCACATATTTTTTCGTCATTCTATATTCCTTGGAATCATTAAGGTATTATTTAAGTATGAAGAACAAATAGGTAAGACAACTACTGCAAATGAAGAAAGAAGAATGCACGACCAAAAAGGAAAAAGGAAATGAAAATAAGACCAACATAAAGCAGAAGAAATTCTGAAATTAGAAAGGATCCTAGACATAGTAGCCCAATCCATTTTGATCGCCCAATTGAATGGAGTGTTGGTGACCTAATATTCTATACTTAATAGTTAATAAAACATAGTGAAACTAAATAACTAAAGACAAAATCATATAAAGATAGCATATCCGTTTTACACGGGTGCCTTGCTTGTTTCAATGGCCTGGTGTTGGGTCTGCCAAGCTAGAGAACACGGTTTTAAGTTGGAGACAGCCACTTTGTGCAAAAATATGCCAAAGGTAAGGTCTATAGAGTCTACTTTCCCAGCACCTAGCATTCTTCACTCCAATAGTCCTCTACAAGCTGGTTCCAAAGATTAAACTGTAATATCTCGAAACAGGATCTGCTAGCCCAAAAACCTGCTCACTATAGCATGGTATTGCTCCTCAATCTGCCTTCTGTGTGCACAGAGCAAGGGCTAAAGCAATCGGGGAAGACAGAACTGAGGGTTACCCAGTACTCACTACTTTCACTGACAAAGTCCTACTCAATCCGATCATAAATGCACTCAAGGACTTGATGAGCCTGGTCCGCTCTTCCTCCATACAAAGTCCTGCGTCTCCTACCACTCATTTGATGAAATCACCACAAACTGACCAGATAAACTGGAGAGAACCGGCCGTAAAATTGCAAGGCTGGGCCATCTAAGATCAATTTCAAGTGGCTAAGAAACAGACTGACACGAATCAGATACGAGAAAGGACAGTTCCAATGTGTTTTAGTATAACTCGTGGCAAAAGTGAAGCAGGATATGCTTAAAAGGAGGAGCAGTTGACAAGGTGAGGTCTGGTGAATGTCAATAGTGCCATAGTACGAAACCAACTTTTACTTCATTGAAGACTAAAAAGGTAATTTAACCAGAGGTGATAAATCCCTTTTAAGAACCTAAAATTATTTATACTTTCTGCTGCATTAAATATCAGTAAAAACTAGCACAACGAAACCACCTACTCTGAGAAGTTGGACCAGTCGAAAAGGAAATTCAAAACTTGGAAATTCGTAATATTACTTATAAACACCAGAGTCTTACTTATAAACACCAGAGTGCAAAAAAAACTTTTAATTTCCTATTTTATCACTAATTATTATGATAAAATCAATTATACCTATCTATATACTTTCATCTAATTTTTGTTTTTTTTATTCCTATTTGACTTTCAATTTATTTTAGACTCTTTTATAAAGACTTTTGAATTCTTTTGAACTCGTTTATTAATAGTATAGTTACATATAATTTTCTATATCTATATAAAGACGTAAAATTCTATATATGTTAAATTATTATCTACATGAAGTTACCAGATTGAATTTTTCAGTTAATTATATGTTATATTTTATAAGATAATAACATTATAAGTGATCTAATCAACCTATTTAACAAAATAAAAAGAGATTTCTAAATAAATGATATATTAAGTAAAAGCTTAGAGAATAAAATAATAATTAAATTTAGTTATAATTAAAATATGAATTAATTATTCGACACCTAATTTATTATTTAAAAATATTATTTAAATTTATTTACGTACAACACACGTTATGTATTTCTAGTTACTCTAAAGATGAAAACAATGGATGCGTTGTTGTTATTTAAACCTAAGGGTAATCTACAAGTAGCACCATGTATTCAGTATCAACTCGTTTTACCTAGGAAGCACACACGTCTCCCAAACCTTCGTATCAGTGTCATGCATGCTCAGACATGTGAAAAGTGTCTAAATTCTTAGTTCGGGGTATGCTAGAATAAGTTCAGGACACATTGGGATTCATTTAGAACACACCATTTTTTTTTTTTGGGTGGGTTGGGGGGGGG